TAGAACCTGGGACCTCTGCGTGGCAGTTCGGCATGGTACGGTTCACACCACCGGTTACGGCCACGGAGGCAGTTAAGTGTGTGTTCATGGCACCCGCGACATAGCGTTTCCTTAATGCAGGGCTATGTTGAGTGTGCGTGTGGGTTATAAAATGTACGTAAAATCTAAGTATCTTTACAGCTATCAGAGGTTGACAAGAGATGTCGTTTTATCAATATTGATTTTACTGGATATCACGCTGTTTTAACAACATGGTTTATAATTGCAAGTGACGGCGACGCCTGGTGGTAAGCGACACGCTAGTCCATTACAATTGCAGTGCCACTATGTTCGTCACCATGAGACATAAGTTGGCAAGTCCCATATGCCTGTAATTTCACCAGCTTCCTACCCTTCTAAACCGGAACGCAGTAATGCTCACATTACAGCTTGGCGGCAGAAATAAGGAAGGTGGCAGCAGTTCCCGTGAAGAACTCTTTCACAAGGCGCTCTTCTGCTATTAAAGTTTTTAAAGTAATTATTTTTGTGAAATTTCGACACTACTTTGTTATACCATAGATTTCTTGTATAGGGTTTTTCAACTAGAACTTTGTTTTGTCGATCAAAATAAAACAATAATATTAAATGACAATGATTCAAATTTTTATTGTATTAAAAAAGTAGGGTTTGTAAATTATGAATGAAATCTGACAAAATGTCCACCACGACCACAGTTACAGATGTCGATTCTTTCATTAAAGTTTTTAATCACTTTTTGACAAAATGGTGGGTTTATTAATCGCTTCACGAATTTTGAGTTTTATGGCTGCAATCGATTCGATTGGCTCCGTATAGACTCTGTCTTTTACACAACTCCATAAAAAGTAATCCAGTGATGTTAAATTATAATCGAGCTGGTCACTTAATGGCTGCATTTCGTAAAATTATGCAATCGGGTAATTTGGTTTGCAATGAGATCATTGTTTCGATGGCTATGTGAAAACATCGTGATTGTCAATACAATCAATATTAGAAATATAAGAACGTAAAAAGGACTGCTGTGCTTCTCGATAGCCGGAGTGGTCATCCACAGAGCACACTATCAATATTTTCCTGACAAGGCTATCTCACTCCTCTATCAAAATTATAATACATTTCCTTGCTCTATAATACAGGGTGGTTATTAATTTCTTACGCGTATTATTAGGCCGCTGTCAGGTTATTACCGACATGATTTGTGGACTCGCCTTTGTTCTACTAAAACGGGCGGGCTATACAGAATCATTTGGTTCCTAATAGTCGTAGGTTTACTTTGTTTTAGATATAGAAAGAGATAATAAATGAAAGAAAGAAATTTCTATATGTGTATTTATGTGTTAATCCGGACATTTTATTGTACAGTCAAGAGCACGTCCAGTTTTGTCATTTTGGACTGTTCTTATCATAAGTGATATAGTTGAATTTAAATCTTAAGTATCAATCGTTTGAGCCACATCGTGATATGAAGTATTTTTCTTATGGTGCCAAGTGACAGGACGAACGAGTCGTCTATCGTTGTTCTGCCTGGTGGTAAGCCACACGCCTGTCTAGTACTGGTGCAGTGTCACACGGAAATTTAAATCGCAAAGAGACATAAGTTGACAAGTACCATGTGCCTGTAATTTCACCAGCACCCTTTCAAAACCAGAACGTAATAACGCTCACTTTACTGCTTGGCAGCAGAAATTGGTAAACTGGCAGTACTTACCTGGACGAACTCTGTCGCAATAAGCTCTACTGCTGCTAAAAGTCCTGTTAAAGGCGTCTTCAGAGAGTCACATACTCAATTAAGAGGCAATGTATACGTTATCATTATAATATAAGATGCATTGTACAGGAATGAAAAGCACATAACCATAACTGATTTCATATTAAAGTTACTTCTTTTAAATCAAGTAACTTTTGACATAGAAAATGTACGTTTCCAATGCCCGAACAAATTACTTTCATAAAATATACATAAAAACAAACATGTTTCGTTCATTCTATGAAGTAGCAGAACAAAAAGAAAACAAACGTAGAATAAAACAATACAAACGGTAACGTAATAACAGACAGGAGCAAACAACCGCGCTGATGAAATTACGTCGCTGAAAGAATGGAACCAAGTACGAGAAGACACAAGGGAATGAAGCGAGACCCAATTGTTAGTTTCAACTCTGGGTAACGTTACTCAAAATAATAATACGTTATTCCATGTAACAGAAAACGTGTGCTATACATATTTTAACCGACTTCAAAAAAACGAGGCGGTTCTCAATTCTGTGTGTTTTTTTTGTATGTACGTTACGCGATAACTCTGAAAATTCTTTTTTATTGGAAAAAAGTACTAAAAAAACCGACGTGGAATTACATCTATTTGTCAAGTTTTTTTGAAATCGGTTACCGGAAAGTGCGCAATCCCGGATTCATCCCCTGGTTCACACGATTTGATCTACACGATTTCGTTTTAACACGATAATAAATGGGGAATTAATGGTCCATCGCGCTTCGATACCTGAAAAGGCTAGACTAACGAGAAAATACCGGCTTGCAATAAATCGCTTCGCGTCTTCAACTTTTTATAATAATGTCAATATTTTCGAACAACGTGGACACAAATCTTTGTAACCAGCATTGAAGGATTTATTTATTTACTCAAAATGCGTGACGTTATACTTATTAACTAAACTAAAATTAAGTTCATTTTTCACTGCAGGGCAAATGCCTCCTTTTTCTACAAATCAAGATCTCCTAAAAGCACCCGACTCGTCACGCTCTTTTTGGATCTTTCACGTCTTGGTGGGATCCACTCTATGGTGGTCCTTGCCCACAGCTCGCTTGACATGCGGATCGTTTCTATTTTCTAAATACCGACGTTAAATTTCAAAGAAACCTATAAAGGGTGTGGGACGCCACGTGTGCCGACACGCTTGCCCCATCCCATTCCCAGCACACCAGCAAGAGGACTGGCTGCGCAGTTGAGCTAAAAAGAAATAAGTACCATGATTTCAGCTCCAAGTTACAGCATTTGGAGTCGAAATCCTTGGCCCGTGGGGTTCCGGTGCCCTTCTTCTGTACCAAATATTATCCAAAAAATTAATGGACTGTCTGGGAAATCCAAGAGCCGGTAGCTAACTTGCCCAGCGCATTAGCATTGCCGTGTAAAGGGGGAACGCTGCTAGCATTTTGGGAACCTTGCCGCGGGGACCCAATGTTATTTATATTATTTAATCCTACTCTTACTTTTATTGTACCTTACTTGTATATTATGAAAATAATCTAGATTAACTAGGTACAGCTAGTTATTTAACTCTTTCGCGTTGGAATACTTTGAATATTTCTTGTTTTTCAAAAAGAAATATTCAAAGCATTCCAACGCGAAAGAGTTCAATAAGTTAAACTCGCAACTTAAGCGTAACTTATCTGTAACATTTCTGAACTTAACGCGCTTGGAAGAGTCGAAGACGTTGATAGGTTACGTTACTAAGTATAATGCTTATCTCGAAGACGTAATAGAGACAGGGTATTGGTGAACGTATTTATTTAGAATTTAATTGACAAACGATAGACGAATAGACGAGCAGTCTAGGCATTTAACTAAAAAGGGCTCAGACAGGGACAATGAAAGAGTCAACTGTCAAGTAGTCTGAGTTTGGAATCAGAGCAAAGTATGTGTTGTTGTCTTATATTTATTTATAAAGTGCACAATAAAATATATTTCAATAAAAACAAACATCAAGCTTAGTTGACCCTTACAAATATTATATTTTGTTGTTTTTAATGGTAACTTAATAAGACATCTTAAACTTCATAATGAAACCAATTTTGAAGGCACAGCTAGTGTTATATTTGCCTTAATATCGTTCGTTAAACTAGTACAGACCTTATTGGTTGGTTGTTTCATGACTTTTAATAATAATTGAACGGATTTATTTTGGCACAAAAATAGAAATATATAAATAGATCGCTCTAAGTCGGGATAGCCTAATGGTTTGTCCCACTGCCTCTCAAGCAGAGACCGTGGGTTCGAATCTGGGCCCGCACCTCGTGAGTTTTTTGGAATTTATGTGCGGTGAAGGGAAAAATCGTGATAAAACCTTCACGTCAAAGAAGGTTCACAACCCTCGGAAAACGTGTAAAGTCCCCAACCCACATCGGGCCAGCGTGGCGGATAAGTCCTAATCCATCGCCTGAGAGGAAACCCGTGCTCTTCAGTGGGACGTATAAATAGGTTGATGATGATGATGACAGAGCTTAACACCTAATAATAAACATGACAAATTCTACAAAATATAATATATCCATTCTTCTGCTATACATCAGAAGACGAGGTTTAAATGTTAAAAACAATACAGATACCATGGAATTATAACGCGTTAAAAAAATGATCAATGTGTTTCAGAACAATAGCATAATAAATCCACGGCTACCATTCGAGATTACATTGAATTGTTTCGAGTTAACAATTCGTTTAATGTCATGCTTTCCATTCATCATACCCATCTCTAGCTACCATGAAAAATGGCGTCAATAATTTATCCCCAGGATTCGCGTAAACTTCTCCAAAATATAAAACTCCGCGGCTTAGCTGTTTAACTGTTTGACCTAGTTGTTTCCACGGCTTAACTTTGACATTTAAATTGGACGAGATATCTGGTTTTTGTCATCTCCCGGAAAGATAAGAACAGTGTTTTATTACCATTTAATTCAATTTTATGAGAATGGAGATGAAGGGACATAATTTGGTAAAATTTTCTGAAATTACCTAGTTGATTTTGTTATTATTTGGGAGGGAGCGTTCTGTCATAGCTCTCTTGTCTAACGTGATCGAATTTCTTATACCAAAGCTTCATCATTGTTACAAATTTAAAATAATCTAAGAAAAGAAAATTATTTATGAGCCTACGGGTAATTTAGATGCTTATGAAAAGTTTAGAAATACAGAAGAAACTTTACAAAAAACATTTCAGTTAAACCCGATTGTCGGTGATTGCACCTACCTCAACAGCTTCACTTCCCAAAGTGCCAGCACTTCAGGAGGTCTTGAAGCACACAACGCCAATCGAGGCCCACAAGCGTGCAGCCGCACTGGACCAGGCTTGATATTGATGGCTGGTGGTGATGATATGATGACCGCTGCAAATTCCTTGCTGCTGCCTAGGTTGTGTTGCACCTAGAAACGAAGTCGCGAGTATTAAAAAATGTGGGAGTAAATCACACCGTGAAAGATTTCGATCATATGATCATTATCAAGGTGGAGAAGAGAAAAATTTAAAAAATGCCTTTGTATGCAGTAAGAAAAAGTAGTTGTATGATAAAGACTAAACAGAATATAATACGTCTAAGTGTGGTCGTTAAGTTTTTCGAGTGTCAATGAAATCTACTAGGGTTCAGACTAATTAGACAGCATAAGCAGCGGAGATTGACAGAGAAGATCTTTAAAACAGCATAATCAAAGATCTTCTCTGTCAATCTCCGAGAAAGTAGACTCAGGTATATGAATGATATATATTTATAGATATACGATAACAAGTTGAATTCTTACCTTAACCCGCCAATTTATCAGAACTTCTCTTGTGTCAAAGGCAAGTACAGGAACGACGTCTTCACACAAAATGGCTAGCGTGTTGGATTCTTTGTCCACAGTGAATCCAGACTCAAAGCCCAGGTATTGCTGGAGGGAGAGCGAAGCTTTCGTTTGTCCGTTCTTCTGTCTTTCTTTCAGGTCCTTGTAAAGTTGCAGGTGGACGCAGTCTGAAAAGAAAGAAAAGGATTTGGTTAATTTTGTGTTATAATGACGTAATATTTTAAAATAATAAAAACCTAAAAACGGTATTTGAAATTTTGGGTTGTTTCGATGTTTTAATATCAGAGTACTCATTTACATCCGTAAATAATCTTCAGGCCAAACCTTATTAAAGTAAACTACGTCAAGTTTTTTTTAAAAGGGTTCAATAAAGCTGAGTCCTTCTTTAGCGATACTTTTAAATTTATTTTAGCAGAGTCCATTTAAGAATATATTTCACTTCAAGAAAATAGGTCAATTTTACGTAGTCTTATAATTTGGAAAGATCATTTGAAAAAAAAATTCAATCACAAAAAATTCGAACTAACACAATCTTCGCTCGTTTACATCGTCTTTTATTATGCAAATGGACGAAATGGCTCTCAGCGAGATGCTTGGAAAAACGAAAATTAGGCCGTGAGTTATGCCTTGGGAAAATGTTCAAAGGAATTTTTGGCTCATTCGCGTAATGAAGACCTCCTTTGTCTACCCGATACCTTTCGCTAATGATGTAGTGTCCTGAACAGTCCCCGCAGTTCAAGATTGCGGTGAACCAGTATACCATGATTATTACTTTTTTTCTGAACTTTGAACTCTGAACTAATTTTTCCTCTTATAAGGAACATATAGCCAAGATTTGTACGAAGCGTTTAAGTGGAAGTCTCAGCCTGCAGATTTGTGTTCTGAACGCTATTATTACAAGAGACTTTTCAATGTGAGAGCGAATAGGCATTATATAGGTGTGCATGTTCCATCGTCGACTTATCGTCATTTTCCATCATGCAAATCAAACGCTCACTTATTTTAACTATAAAAAATGGAGTTAAAACCAGATCCCACTATGTTTCGGATAAAAAAGTTTTTTAACGTTGAGATGTAGTGTTTGAGGCAAAGGGAAAGAATACGCTGTATAAAGAGACCGTTATGGTATAATGAAGACCCACTAACAAAGGCGATGATAGGCAGCAACTTGAAGAACTAGTTAATACCGAAGAGGAAGTAATAAGGGGCCATCTTATACAACATGGCGATTTTATTAACTTGATCGAAGTAAAAGTGGAAGGAAAGTGTGGACGAAAACGACCGCGAATAAGTAACTCCGACTTAAAAGAATTGTTGAAGCTATGTTGTATAAAGTGGGTGAAAGAAAAAGCTATGCAGGCAGAATGATGACATCGACAAGAGCTCCTAAATCTAGGAGAGAGATGATCACCGGCTGGATCGCGATCGAGCGATGTTGTTACATTTACACCCTTTATAACAAAAAATTGGGTTAAATGTGTCTGTTATAGACTTCACTAGCGAAGCAGTCGACATCCGCAAAGGCCAGTCAACGCTTTGTGTCTTTTGCAGTAGAAACCTTGTAAAAAAAAAAGTAAAACTCGTCACTACGGAGCCTTTCAGTTCGTTTTGCTAAAGCCTCCGGTGACCAAAAGCCTGCCAACTACTTCCGTCACAGTTTAGTCACCCAAAGGGAAAACGTTCCGGCCTCGAATTTGTGACGTTCTGAGCGAGGGTCTTCATAAATTCTTTTTTTTAATATTACACCTATTCACGTTTCCATTTCAATAATTTTTGATACTTTATGAGTTTTAAAGTTAATCAAATTATAATATTTAATTTTTTATGAATATCATGTTTTTAATACCATGATATTCATAATTTTTGTAGCCATGTTGCGGCAACAGGCGTTGTTTCGAGTGCAGTCAAATTGAAGGAAGTTCTCTTTGTTTTCGTTTGATTTTTTTCTACCAATATTATAGTAACAAAATCGTTGCATAATTTTACTCTGTGTCAGTCCTCAGTTAATATTATCGGAAAATGTAAAAAACATTGTCAAGACGTCGTTAAATGTCTCGAGATGCTTTCAATGTTATGAAGGAAATAAAGTTACAACCGCTTTATAAATAATAGTTTACATAGATCTTGTGTTACTTAGGCAAAATATTGAGCTCTGGAAGAATTAGAAGCGTTTTAAAGTTACGGGGTTACATTTTGATGGGTTAACATGTTAAAGGCTAAAGACTTTAAACACTTTATAGACTTTTTTTCACAATTTAGTGCTCCGTTTGCCGGTCGGTTGTAGCAAGCGAATAGATATAGTTTTAGGTGTAGACTGAAAATCAGCAATGCTGAGTCTTCAACCTTTTTATTCACATTTCTGTTTTAGTTGTCGCTGTTTTTTTATTTGTACTAGTTTTATGTGTATTTTGTGGATAAATAAATGTCTTTTTATTTTTATTTATTTTTATTTATTTTATTTTTTACAACGTAAGCTGTAAACAGCAAAATCGATATTTTTTACTCGTTGCAACCTCAGCTCGAACCTATGCTTTTCCCGTACTAATATGGGTTATTTTGCTTGGGTCTAGAATTTATTTTTTTATAGACGAAAATAAAGTCATTTGAAAAATGTGTATCGTATAGTATACATGCTCTGAATAATAATAAAAATAATTTAATAATAATAATAATTTATTCGCATTAAGTGTGGTGTACTTAGTTGGCTTAATATATAATATTTCTATTAACAGGTTCTCACACTTAGCTAGTAATAGCATGCAAATTTACCTTAAAATGAGTATATCTATCAATTAAATTTTTATTGAATTGATATTCAATTATTTTTTGTGAAATTACTCCACTAGTTTGTTATAATTATTAATACAAAGATCGAACACTCCGAAAAAACACTCAGAAAAATTTCCTTCGATCCGGTCGGATTCGAACCGACGTCTTCTTGCATACTGTGCCAGACGCTATACCAACTAAGCCACGGAACGAACCAACGGACCTCACGAATTTTTCTATGTGCTTGCGTCGTGTCTTTGTACTTGGTCTTTCAACGACTTTTTAGCCGTAGCGCCATCTATGAGAAATCTATTACAGATTTATCACCCTATTTATATATCTATCATAATTATTAAAATATCTTATACATTTAAAATAATAAGTCTCAATAATGTCAAATTTAAACAAATACCTAATTATTTTTGTAGTCAAAAAATTCTTCAATTGAGTAAAAACAACAGTTAGACAACCATTTGGATAACCTATATCGGAACATTGTATTTGGCGTATTTTTTAAATCAATCGGTAGCGAATTATATATTTTGACACACATAGGTAAACAGTTACGACGATAGACTTCTCTTTTTATGTTGACCGGTACAGTAAGTCTGTCCGGAAACCTCGTGTTATATAAAGGTTCATGTCGTTTGAACAGTGAATAATTTTGCTTGACGAAGGTACAGGCACTCAAAATATAAATACTAGGCACTGTTAATAAATTTAATTTTTTAAAAAGTGGTCTGCACGAAGTTACAGGTGAAATGTTGCAAATCGATTGAATAGTTCACTTGATATAAAAAAAAATATCATTGTTAAGTATATGTAAGGTACCTCTATTGAAAACAGCGGTTTTCTTGTCAAAGATCGAGGTACGTTTATGTTTTGTTTTTCTATCGTGAAAATTTTTAGGCATCGTATTTTCACAGCGTATACTAATCAGTGTATATCCTGAATTTTACTACTTACTATATATTTTTTCCAAAATGTTTGATTCGACGATTTCACTGTTATGCAGAATCAACCAATGTCATTTGAGATTGTATCGACTTTACATGCAATATTATAAAAAAAATAAGAATAGTTGCAATGCATAGCGGTAGCCGAGGGGGAGAACGATGTCGATGGTTCGAATTACAATGGTGACGATGTACATATTTTCACTAACTTTGAATGCTTTAATGTCTAAGTTACGAACAATTTTTGTAAATGTTTCGTACCGTAAACGTCGAAGAAGGTTGACAATCCCTGACAAAACGTGGGAAAAAGCGAACAAATATACAACTTAACAATTGCAACAATGGTTGAAATTTCAATAAACACCAATTTAACAACGGGCACATGAAATCCACTACTCAAGATGGAGTATTCTATTTTCGAATTAATTCAAATTTGGAACCGTTTTCTAATTGGTGCGACGTGACTGTCGCGTTCTGTTCTCTAATCAGAGATAAGGGCCTCTGCTGACGGGGCAAGTGGGATACTGCTAAATTGCCAGGGGATTAAATTTAATGGATGTTATTTGAGGAACCTTGTTTCGTTGTTAAGATTTATACATACCATTAAACATCCTACGTAGCAAGGGATAGACTGAACTACACTATAAATGATAAAACTCCCTTCGCTTTTTAGATACCGTTACAATTCTAACAAAGTTTCACTAATTACAGGTTTCTTACTTACTGTATTATTTAGATAGATAGATAACTCGTTTGTTATTTGTTGAATCCTTGTACATTATAAACAAGCTAATGACATAGGTACGATAGTAATGATAATGAAAAAGGCTAGCTAGTAGTCTAGAATGTTGATATTGTGTCGGGGTGTTGAGTGTATTGTATCAACAAAAAGAATCTGACTCAACAATAAGCTGCAGTTCTGCCAGGTCCTAAGGAGAGCCGGTAAAAGAAATCGTTTTGTTTTCCCGATATTTTTGCTTCGGAACTTCACATGCTCCAAGGTCATGAGGGTTGACTGGCTTTATAATATATGGGGTATGCCTGTTCTTAAAGGTGTCATCTGCAGTAGCAGGCAGGACAGCCAGTAGGCTGACTGGCCAGTGATCCGTGATCATGGAGCATGTAACCGTTCCGAAATATCCAAAAAAAATTAAAAGAAATTATACCGTGGTAAGAAATCTGTAATTAGTGATGAAGTTAGCTACTGAAAAACTAAAGTCTTGAAAATCCTTGTTACTAATCTAACGTCTTAACTTATAGGCAAGTAACTATCACATTGTAAATAATTCAATAAACAGTTTCAATGCAGAATCAAATTTGAGTGGAGCCTTTGTAGTGTGAGCTTTGTGGTTTGGTAGTTTGTAAATTTAATTTGTATTTAGAATGAATAAGATTGTATGAGAGACTCTATTGTATTGTACAGGCACGTGTAATATGTATAC